ACCACAGATGCCGTTCCGTCCAGTCTGGAGAGCAGTCTCGGTGCCCGAAGTGCGCCAAGATTGTGTATCATGCGGAGGAGATCCTCGCCGGCGGTCAGAAGTGGCATAAAATCTGCTTCTACTGCGGCCTCTGCTTGAAACGACTGGATTCGACCTGTTCCACCGAGCATGAGGGAGATGTGTACTGCAAGCAGTGTTACGGCCGGAAATTCGGTCCCAAAGGTAAGGGGTGCTTCGAAAAGGAGCTCATGGAGGATACGAAGGCTTCTGACACGGCGTGAATTCGTAGAAGAGCTTCTCAGGAACCTGTATTTCCCTTTCTCGTATCCTCTAGGTGTGGGCTTCGGTGGTGGCGCTGGATGCTTGTCCATGGATAAGGGAGAAGTTTTTGGAAACACCGAATCAGCTCGCAACAAACCTCTCGATCCTTACTATGGGCAGAGCGGAGGATGGCAACGACCGACTCGTTTCCACGGCCAGTCCAACTAGACTCTGGGAACTTTCGAGAGCTCGACCGATTAGACAGGGAAATCAAAACTTCATCCCGACGGAAAACAAGAAGATTTGGTTCAAATCCATCTCCGATAACAGATGAAGGAAGGGCCTTCCCAGCGGTCGGGATTGGCGGTCGAGATTGAGAATCTGAAGCGTCTCAAAGGTGGTGGCAGACAGATCAGCTTTCGTTTTTGTTCCCCTCCGAATTCCTTCGATGAGCAGCACCGAGAGAATTTCCTTTGAAAGCTCGCTCTTCCCCGTTCGTGGTTTTCCGGAACATCGTGGATTGGGTCTCCGACTGGGTGAAAGCGAATCCGACTGTCTGCCGCCATGCTGTGGAACGTGCTTTGGAAGGGAAGATTTGATTGTAAACTAAGATGGAGCGTGCAAGTACGTTTTGAATGAGAGTTCGGACTGTATCTAGAGACTCTCATGACTAGGAGAAGCGAATGCCTCTGCGCACACACAGCCTCCTCGACGGTGGACGAGCCGTCGCTGTTGAAACTAGGTGATTGTGAAAATAGAGTTTCATTGTTGGGTCTACAAACGCGAGTGATAATGATGATATTACGTGTAACGCTTCCGTTGGTCATCCTCCTGCCTTAGGATGGAAGAAATAAAATCCTTCGCCGAATTTATCAGCGCATCTCTCTCCTCTGGTCGAACTATGTAGGTTGTCGGAAATCGTTCTCAGAATCTCGGCGAAAACATTTCTCTCCGCGAGTGTCCCTCAATGCCGTCATGACGGAGCTCAAGTCACGGGACCCTCGAACCATGGCTGTCGTCACGAATATCGGTCGGTATCGAATATTTCCTCTTGCAAATGAGGTTCCAGCGAAGTGAGCTCGTTCGTGGCATGCGGAAAATTTTTGAATGGGCGTGGTTCGCCGAGTGAATCTTCCTTCTTGTTTAGGTCCAGCCCAACGACTCCACCTCATCATCTGAGCTCTCGGAATTGAACATTGCGACCAAAAACCATTGGACCAGTAAATCGTTGTCTTGGAACCCATCCCGGGGGTGGTGGTTCCGTGCGACGGGATCGCGACCGTCACGCGGCCTATTGAATCTCGATCGCGTCGCAAAACTGAAAATTTCAATGATTCCGAAACTTGTTGAAAATCAATGGACTTCATTATAGAATAATAATAATCATATAACGATCGAGGGGAAGTTGGGTCTGAATATCCGAGCGTCGATGGTGGACCGACGAGGACCTATCGCTCGTCGGAGAGTTCGGAACACGGTCGGGAAAAAGAAGCCAATTTCCTCATCTCGTTCCGACACGTGAGTTCTCTCTCGAAGGCATCTCTGAGTGAGCTGCCCAGAGCTCCTCTCTGCGAGAAGGCGGCCGGATTCGAACAGCGCGGGTTACCTCCTGACCCCAGCCGGGGGTCGGAGGGCTGGATGAGCACGCATGCGCGTCGCCTTCGGAGGACCATTGACAACACTGCCCGTACTCAGCACTGCTCTCAGAAGTGTTCTCAGAAGCGTTCCGCTGTTCCGCAGCGTGGATCCGTGGCATTTGTTCGTCCGATCTTGCGTGTGCTCTCGTTTCGTGACGTTTACCCGCCTGAGCTCGGAAGTGCACCGAGCATCCGACCGATTCGACTTTCACGGCTGGCAACCCGCGCCCACCAGTGTCTCAGTGAACCAGTAACCCTGGACTGTCAAGAGCTTCCTGTGCTTGGCGTCAACGGTGGCGCTCCACATGACTGAACGAATGTTCGGTGACGATGCCTGAGAATGCGCTACTTTGGTGCTGGAGTCTCTCTGGTAAGCTCCCCGCGTTTCGACGCGACTCCGCGTCGAGGTCAGCTTCGTTCGATTGTGGGAGCTCTCCGGCAACCTCACCCAAATCTGTTCCTTCTCTGAAGGTGAGCAAGCAGTGATAATTCCTTCGCCTCTGCACGAACATGTGCAACAACTGTATGATGCACGTTCTCGCGGCTGTATTCGAGGCGGTCTCGCTGCGTGGGATCTTGCACTGGAAGTCCCGCCTTGCATGACAGAATTTCCGAATGTGAACCAAAGAATCTCTAGCGATCATCGAATCGATTGCGGCTCTACTCGGTAGCGTTGGAATCCTTCACCCATCCCAATCGGTTAGATTCGTAGTTCCCCTGGATGACGATCCCCAATTACGTTTTCTATGCGTTGTGAGGTCCTGGATGGGAGATTGACTTAGAAGAGGCGTTTCCGCGGAAGGGGATTGATGTCCCTCCGTCCCGCGAGTGTCGACAGACTTCCGATGCCGATGATGATATCCTGGGACGGCTGGAGTTTCCAGCGTTCTGGAAGTACTCATAAAGATCTTTGTTCTCATCGAGTTGTTTTCCCTCGGAATTCATAACCCGGGATCCGTGCATTACCGGACTGAATGCCTCAATTTCCATGTTTTCACTCGCCACGAACGCATGTATTTTTTCGATTCTCGATACCTATGATGTGGGTACACCCGCGAGAGAGCGGAATGGCTGGCATCCACCGACTGAATCGAAGTGTCTCGCTCCCGCAGGGAATCTGTTCGAAAGGGATTGAGAACAGTCCTGTCGTACCAAAAGTAGAAGCGTCGCCAGCTGAATCAATTTACTCGAAGGTCTCCAAGCCCCGCCGCAAGGGAAGAGATTCAGCTGTAGGACCTGAAACACCGAAAGTGAGTCTACAGCAACATTCAGTTTCAACAATGATGGAAATTCCCGTTTGTGAGGGAAAGAAGCGTCGAGCGACAGGGAACATTCGTCCACAATCGAAATGAATATATGATTATTTCCGCAGAAAAAAAGTGCTACAGGTGAAGCCGTCTATGAAAGTATCATCACATTGGATCCCTTTGAGATGATCTCAATGGCTCACATGAATCAACTCCAACAAGCAAATCAGCTCAATATGCACTCGTTCTCAAATGGCCATCAGATGCCCAACGGCAACGTGACGCCCATGCAAAATACCCAGGGTCCCACGATGCACATTGTGGCGAATCCTATGGAGCAGGACTCGTTGTAAGTCAGCCCCCGATGGCCTCCAATAGGACCGCGGACTCATTATCGAATGTTCGGGTCTCTCGTTTCTCGGAGAAAGCGTCAGGTGGCCACTCCACAGTGGCAAAGATGGCGTGCGGATGGCTTTTCACCGGAACTCTCTTCTTCTAGATACACAACCATCGGCGACGTATCTGAACGCGTTTATGAGTGTCCGGACGATTGCGCTCCTCCAGTTCCTCCGAAACAAATGGAAGTTCTCTACACGAAGCCAACAAAGGTGTTCCCCAAATCGAATGGGGCGGCTGCGATGAAAATATACAAAACTCGCGAGAGCGTGCCGGCGTCACCGACTCGAGAATCGTCCTCGAACACTAGCTCCTCAGATACGCGGGACCTTCAACAAGAAAATTATAGTCTCAAGCAGGTGCGTTGATCTCCAAAGCCACTGCAAACCTTTGAGCTAGACAACACAGGGTTTAGGCCTCCCAGATTTCTCAGTTGGGACATTTCACCCGTGAGGGGATACAGATAAAGGATAAGTCAGGGCAAATCGAAGTCGCCACGAGCAAACCCGATCGGCACCATACGTAAAAGTCTCCCTTACGTAAATGCGGGCTCCGAGGGGAATCGGGAGCTTTCCGAGAAAATGAACACACGCTCCCAAAAAGCTCCCACACACGCCGGCCATAGCAGACGTAGACTTTTTAACGGCATGACAATGACAGCGTGCATAATTGACGCTTTCTCCTCCATCTCGCAGGAAATTCTCGCTTACCGCGAACGAGTGAAGGCCCTAGCTATGAAATTGGAACAATTCGACGGGATATCGTCCATCGTGGAGGAACTCCAACGGAAGGTGAGAGCCCAGGGGGACCCATCAGATAGTTTGCGTCGAATGCAGACATGAGGCGGGATGAGGGATCGTGCGCAGGTCGCACACGATACGTTGCCACTCGGGGATGGACGCGGCGATGCGAGTAATCGCTTCGATCTATACAATATCCCGAATCGTTGCAGGTTGACAAGGTTAGTCAGGAGAACGCTCGACTCCGATGCTTTGAACGAGAGCATCGCGAAGCTCAAGAGCAGCTCAAAGAGGCTCAAAAACAATATAAACTGGATATGGATCAATTGGGACAACAGGTAAGCTTATCGGGGACACCTGCTTATCGAGAGAGAATTCCGCATCAGATGACTTCAGCAGACCTTGGGCTGTTGACGGGATTCTCCGCCACTGATCCGTGGATTTTCTTCAGGTTAACTTGCTGTACACGGAACGAAACGACCTGGAGAGTTCTTTGGCGAAACTTCAAGCCGAGCACGATTGCCTGATGATCTCGTCACAGAATTCCGTTTCTTTTCACTATCATTCCCAAGTGAGTTAATTACAGGCTCGTATTCTACGCGGATCTGATTCCCTGAGCAAGGGGGATTCGATCTGATTTCTTTCTTTTCCAAGGCAATGCTCGAGGTCAAGCGACTCCTCGAAGAGCTCAAGAACAAATACCACAGCGATAAAGAGTCACTCCTGCTAAGAATCGAAACTGCTGAACAGGAGAGAGACGACTTCAAGGTAGAGTTTCTATTTACCTCGTTGTCTGAGATCCCGATATGTCCTCGTATCTGATCGCATCTGTGGGATCAGCTCCGAGCCAAGTGATCTATCCTCCCTCTCTCGGCCTTAAACGGATTCACCACGTTACAGGAGAAAGTTGGCCAGCTACAAGAAGAATTGCAGGCGATGCGAGCCGAGAAAGACTCGCTCAATCAGATGTATCGGAAAGCCGCGCGTCAAAATCAGTCCTTGGTGACACACATCAAGGAGCTCCAAACCGAGGATAGCGAAATGCACGCACTCATGCAAACTTTGCTGCAGAGTGCGCACCAGGCTGTCGCTGAACGGGATACTTTGGAGCGCTTAGTGAAACCTAAGGATTCTTCGAAAGTCTCGCCGCAAACCGTTGTACCATCCTCCCCTCAGGGTCCTAATAGTCCAGCCGCCGTACAACCGGGAACCTCAGAATGGATCAGCGATCAAAGTTTTCTGTCTTGTTAAGCCGAAGAAACCCCTTTCCAATTGATGGATCTCTGCACTGCGGAACCATAGGAACCGACTCGCGTGATTATCGGTTCGGGAACTTCCGGATGTCCCGGGACTCCCCGAGCCGAGTACGTGGGGACGCTAATTTTGTGTTCGGGCGCGAAAACCAACCGGAAGCTCAACTTAGACTCAATCGAGTGCTGCCGACAAGAAGCATAGCCAAGAGATTATATGGAGGATTTTCTCGATGTCCTGCGTCTTGAAGCTCTGTTTCTACGTGTCACAAGAGCGTCGGTTTCTTGGAGCTTCCCCCCGCGGGGGATCGGGAATGCGATTCCTGATCCCCGGTACGGAATTCTGAGGATCTCCTACCTAAGGAAGCAGCGCGGGCCGACGAGAGAATGCGTCGCTGACGACTTCACAGATTCCTAGAGCGCCTCTCTGAGAGACCCGGCGATCGTTCCTGGACCCCCATAGGATTAGGGAGTACGAAACTACCACCTGAATAGGAAGGAGACCAATCTCATGCTGATCCCAACTGGAGATTCATGGTGTCATGCAGACATTGGCAGAGATCGAAAATCTAGAGAGAGACAAGTGCTAGGCAGTCGGCGCACAAAACCCTCCTGGCCATAGAACAAAATGATATGGAATTGCGAGCGACGAAGATAGACTGCAGGAGCTGGAGAAGTTTCGATTGTTCCGTATTTGTGTTTAGTTCTCCGCGGTAGCCGGTGAGAATGACACCGCCGCGCCGGCGAGGAGCATGCGATCTCCTTAAAGGCCACTAGAAGTATCAAAATCGATGACCATGAATTTCCCCACAAGACTACCCAATGCTCATCCATACGACAAGCTCGGTGACTCCGAGTCGATTTAGACGAATTCTGAAGGAGAAGCTGCGTGTAAAGTTTATGCAATGTTGTGAAAAACAGATGATTTTTCGTTCAGATAGCTCATTTCTGTTCGAGTGCCCATATCAGTAATATCTGTAAACCACACTCTGGCAAGCCAAATATACAGAGGAGGGGAATTTGCCAAATGTGACCGTTGCACGCGAGAGATTAGATAATGATCTTGAGTCTTGAGGACTTCCGTTGAGCTTGCTCACTTTTAGACGCCCCACATTTCCTTTATCGCTTCGATCGCTTGTCGTGGGCAAATGTGAAACTAAACTTACGAATGAAGAGATACTTTTCCAACCCGAAATAAAGCCTCACAGCTGTTTTCCGTGAAATTTTCAGCGGCTCTTCACTACGGGAGGAATTTTCTTTAACGAAATAATGTTCGTTACCTCTGCCCACCTCTGGTCTTGAGACGAGAAGTATCAGGGGGCCTCGGTGTCAGAATCCGCTCGGCCACGGCAGGAATCTTACCTACCTGGCAGTCGAACAGGATCGAGTTCCCCTCGGTCACCCCTAGGTTCCAACCCCCCTCTCCTCCCTCCCTCCCCCGAGCTGAAGGAAGAGGCGTACACAGGGGGGGTGAGAGGGGCTGGATCCATCCGAGAGAAACAGGATCGCTCGCAATGACGAATTTCGGAGCTCTGCCGGCATCGAGAAGCTGGAGTATGGCCCTTTCTCGGTGACGCCTGTCAGAACCATATGCACTGAAACGCCCTCCTCGCGGGATCCCATCAACAAAGATCACAGGCATCATTCATTTTCAAAACAACTGACGGCGGCTTCGTCTTATGGACATGCATGAAATTGCGAATCAGTTCAAGTATTCTGAGCGTCAAGTCGTCTCCTGACCCTGATCCCATTCCGATCGGAGATAGATGACGGAAGGTTTGCCGGGCTAAGGGAGAATATCTATCAGTGCCTGCTCGCTGTGGGACTGCGGCGCCTCGACTAGCGCCGGCTCGGAGGCAACTAATTTTGGGGAGAATTCCGTGGGTCTGAGTGCCAGGGAGTCGATATGGACACTCCAACGCTCAAGTGTCCCCGATCCGGCCGAGGTTTGTGATGGAAGGAGTCGATGATGTCTGGAGGAGATCGTAAGAAGTTGCAGGGAATCGGGAGATGAACTCACCGTGCGTTTTCTTCTCTACCACCTAGTTCTGACTCCACTGTCCATGGATTATTGGCGACTGAAGAAGAAACTCAATAGGATCATTTCGGACTCATCGAGCTCGGATGAAGAAAATGATGAAACGCCGCTCAAGGTCAGGAGCCTTGGAACTTTCATCGAGAGAATCCGGCCTTAGGTACATAATTGATATTTCGATCCATAAGACCCCTTGGCATGGGCAGGATAGCGGTGATTCATAGGATGAGTCGGGCTCCCTTTCACGACGGTTCCATCTCCGCAGAAATCGCACGGCCCCGCCAAAGAAGCTCCTGTACGAAAAAGAGAGAGCGGAATCATGCCTCCTCGAAACTCTTCTCCGAACGACGCGCGATCAGGTGTTGCGCCACCGATTCTCGAGAAGATACCTGAGCTCTCGAGATCGGACGTTAAGGTATTAAAGACTGAATTTGATTATGTGACCCTGAGCTCGGTCCGAACACCAATCTTCGAAAGTCTGCATCCGGAGCTCGGGTCGCTCCAATTTCTGGACGGAGAATTTTTCTGATGGGGACGCGATCACCTTCTAGCCCCGGAGAAGTCGAGACGGAGCGCGGAGTTCTCTACAAATGACCGAACGATACGGAGAGGACAGTGACGACGAAGATATTGTGTTCAAAGCTCGTCGCAGAGCCCAGAAGGTTCGTTCTCTGAATACAACCTTCGATTCCCGTGCGGAATCGGCAACGATTTCCCAGTCCGCTCGTCTTCGTGGAGTGTCCCGAGACGACCTCAACAGCTGCGATGTATTCTTGTTGCTTCCAGTTTACTATAGAGAGCTCGTCCTCGCAGAGTGACGATCAGGAAGATGTAGAGGCCCCGCCACCGTTAACCTCGGATGCAGCAGACAACCTATCAAGGATTCTATTCTCAACCAGTATCGGCCCCTCTCGAACTCCATCGCCGAAAAACGGAGCCGATTTCATCGAAATCAGCTCCGGCGATGATGAACTTCCTGCGCTGGACGCTCGGGTCAAAGAGAATGACCGCAAAACGCCGCCGCGGAAAGGGATGAAAAAACCTGGAGTTCATGCGATTGCCGCCACCGAACCGAAGGTATGATCTGTTCTCCGAGACAACCAAGCAATCACCATGTCTGGTGATGGTGATACGTTTTCGTATTCGCGATTTTATGCCTTCTCAGCATCGAGTTGTGCACGAAGGCGATCGGAGCACCATGCCACCTCCGTCCTTGCCGGTCAAGAGAACCGTGAAAGCCAAAGGGGCGAAACCTAAGACGAAGGATGACCTCGAGTTCGATGAGCTTCTGGACAAACTCCGATGTCGGAAAGATGAGGTACCTTGAAAATTCGAAATCCGGGGTTCTGGCATCATGGTCATCCGAGCCTCGTTCCCTGGAGTTATGGAGAACGAGCGTTAGGATTGAGCGAATCCTTCCGTCCCTAAAATTGCTCCCCTCACATCCAAAAGCAGGTGGACCCTGAAAATTCGGTCTGCGAATGGGAGAGAAGCAACTCGGACGACCGCAAATTCTTAGCATCCCTGGACGAAGATGCAGTTCCCTTGAAATTGTGCCACGAAGACGCCCTCGTCTATCGCAAGGGCAGATTTAACTCGATCAAGGACGATCTCGTGAAGAAGCTTTTTGACGTGAGTTTCGATGAGGTATAGGGGAATGGTGATGGACTCGTGAAATTCTTAGGCTTTCCGAGCGCGAGCCCAGTCGTCGACAATAATGATTGGACCCGGGGGAGCTCGGAGTCTAATTCCCTTTTTCCGCCCCCAGCTGTTCCACGAAACAGTCTTCCAAAGCCGCTTCAACTCTGAGATTCCGATAACCTGGAACGTGCGCATGCTGAAAACCGCCGGCTGCTGCTACTACCGTCGGCACCAGGACGGCTCCAAGAGGGCTCGGATCGAACTTTCACCGAAGGTATGAACACTCCGGGTGACAGGACGAGAGAATTTCGATGATTTGTACTGCACGATTCGCTTCGATGCAGCCTACTGAGCGGCAATCCGCTGCTTATTCCGCAGGTTCTGGATCGACCTTCTCGATTGAGAGACACTTTGCTTCACGAAATGTGTCACGCCGCCGGCTGGCTGATCCATGGCTACCGAGACGGACATGGGACACTCTTCAAGTTCTGGGCTCAGAGAGCGCTCCAGCTCCTCGGGCTAACCGTCACAACTACTCACTCCTATATAATCGAAACGAAATATGTGTATCGGTGAGTTCCCAGCGGGAGCCAAAGTCAAATTTCCATATCCCCATCCAGAGAAAAACTTACTGATGTGACACACAATTCTTCCGACAGTTGCCAAGGCTGCGCCAACGAAGTTCGCCGACATTCGAAATCTCTCGACACATCGAGATTTATCTGCTCGATCTGTAAAGGACGCTTCGAGCTTTTTGTGAACAACAAACGGAACAATCAAGTCACTCCGGCCGCGGAGAGAAAACCATCACCCTTCAGTAGATTCGTCAAGGACGAATACAAGAGTATTAAGACCGGCAGCCCTCATCTTAAACATTCTGAGGTCATGTCCGCCCTGAGCGAACGCTGGAGGACGGCGAAGAATAATTGTGTCTGACCATTCAACCCTGACGTACTCTATGTCATTCATTTCCTCTTGGTGTTCCCTCTCAGTGATGCTGTCGACCAGACTCCCGTGTGGATAGTCACTGAAGCGAGCGCTGAACTCGATTTCATCCCGAGAGGACGATGGAAAACTAATGATCGACATGAATAAAAGTATTGGAAAGCGCCTCGATTCTCCTCGATGTCAAATCGATTCTGACAATCAAGCAAATCAGTTCTGAGCTCGACGCTTATCTTACGGGCTCCAGCCTCGTTCGCTACAATTCCACCATGTCGACGAAGGGTGATATCCGCCTGCTAAAGGATGCATCTGTCTGTCTGGGGTACGCGATGTCCATGTTCGGGGCGCAATATTCGAGAGTGCATCTGGATCGGTGTTGGAACTTCGGCTTCGGGCTCAGACCCAGCCCATGGTGCAAGCAGCGTCAGATCGCCAGACGAATGAGGCCCCGCTCCCGGTAGCATCAGATCCCTCTCCGCAGGTGAAGTCTCCCGGGCGAATTCCCGAATATATTCTTCCGAATACCCCGGATATTAGGAGCCTGTGCCCCTCGAATAAAGTCCGAATAACAGCGTAAGCTACTCAACGAAGCCCCATTCGCTCATCAATCGAGGAACCTCAACTGAGGCTCCCTTGGAAAATGACGCGTCCGTCGGAGCTCATCGCTTGCTCAGCGCGGTTCGGGGTCCTCTATCATTTGGCTTGCTCATGCTGATTCCCGGGCCGGGACGTCTCGCCACGCCGGGGAACGAAGGATCGGTCGTCAAAGAAACGGTTATTTCTCGAATTGAGTATATACACGCCGATCTCTGTGAATGCTCAGCCAAGGAGAATATTCGACGACGACTCGGATTCGAAAAGACCGTGCCGGTGAAGATGAATCGGAGTTGATAGGTCAGATATCAGTGTCTCCTTGAGATGGAATCTCCGAGAGGGATTCGCTTGTTTGAGATGATATTTTGGTGTTGCCCGGAGTCAGCTGACATAGGTACCCTTCGCCCGATATCTTTCCTTCCTTCCGAAAAAGAATGACGATAGGTCTCTATTCTCGTCGAAAGACGATACTTCTGCCCGGGCTTATAAACTCACTCTGCTGTGTTTCTCCGATTGACTTGCTCCCAAAGTTCAAAAAGGCGGAATTTCGAAGCTCTACTACCTCCGAAAGGTTCAGGCGGAACTGATTCGACTGTTCAACCATATCCTGCAGTATCTGAGAGGCTTTCCTCCGCGTCCCCGAAGGCCACACACCCTCGGTAGCGGAAACCGGAAGAAAGTCGAACATATGAAAGAGTACTTATTTACGGGCGTTCAGCTTCGCAGAGAGACTAATCTCGACGCAATCGCGCCGACGTCTCTTCTCGACTGCCTATCAATTCCGTCGTGTCTCCCAAGCGGATAACGGCTGGGATTTCTCCGCTCTGAGCAGCCCACCAGTGTTCCCTCGAGCGCTGGAGCTGGAAATTCGATGTAGGTCTGGAACATTCTGAAAATGAGTCTCGACTCTCGAGAACACTAAGAAGACGGATATTCGCCTCCGAAAACGGGAAGAGAGACCAGCTACCAGGATCTGGCTCATACTCAAAGTGAGGAGAACTCGCTTGTCAACTCTTCCTTTCAAAATTCCTTGGGGTCTTTCGGAGGCATCTCCGTTCTGAGCTCGTGCCTCCCGGAAAACTGAGCATCTCCCACTTTCAAACATCGTCAATCCCCGTCAAAGCATATCAAACGCTTACAGGCTCATCTCTCGACGGGGGTTCCCACCACTTCTTTGCTTTCAATTTGAGCTCCGAGAGGCAAAGAAAGGGCTGTCTTCCGGCTGAACCGCTCCAGTGGGCTTTGCGATGAGGCGCACCTATGAAGACGATGCTCAATCTTTCCCAGCTCAGAGTATTCTCTCAGCGAGACTCGTTCCGAGCGTCCCGATGCAGCGGGGAACATGAGCGACGTTCGAGAGCTATCCTCGCAATAGTTTCGAGCGAGTGAGTTGGGAAGCGATCGACTCAGTCGCTGAGTAAGACAGCTGTCAGCTGGGCGGGAGTTTTTCCACACGATCTCTTCCGGCGAGTTTCTCTTGGAGACGTGAGGAGCTTAAGCGACGTATGAATGCCGGATCGTCATCGTATGTCGAGACGTCAAGACCGCTCTGGAACTTCATGGGATCGTAGGGTGAATTTAGTGAAAGGCTGGAAGAGATATCGAACAGTAAAGCGATGGCGAGTTCAAAAACTCGATAAGCTGTTCGACCACAGCCATTGAAATCTATGATTTTTCGCCCTCGCTGGATCCAAAACCGAGGTGAGCTGTCAGTGTGTGTCATGCTGAAACATCCGACGCTTTTCCCACTCTGCGTCGCTGCTGTCAAGGGTGTCCGAACAGCCGGCGAACACAGTCGGGCATTATATATGCAAGAACGAGATTCTTGGCGATTCACTTCTCTCAGGATTCTCTGAACACGACCGTTTGCCAGCCAGTCCGTGGGTCGGCCGAGCAATCCGAGCACGGAGAATCAGGAATTCAGCGACACGATCGCGATGAAGGATCTTCCCTAGAGAAACTCGAGTGGGAGCTTTTCGACGGACACATACTCGGAACATGCAACATGTTATCTTCTTCATTCATTCTTCCTAGCCGCAGTAACGAGATACAAGGGATCCGCGGAGGTCTTGGACTTGCAAATCGAAGCGGGGTTTTTCGGACGTCACCCCCTACTTTGCCGGCCGCAGGACCTCCGATCCAAATCTCTGCGAGCGGCGCACTTTGACGTTTTTGGGATCCTCAAGGCGATCGGATCCGTCGGAATCGGAGCGTTAGCATCCATTCATACATACATAAATACATACATACATACATACATACATACATACATACATACATACATACATACATACATACATACATACATACATACATACATACATACATACATACATACATACATACATACATACATACATACATACATACATACATACATACATACATACATACATACATACATACATACATACATACATACATACATACATACATACATACATACATACATACATACATACATACATACATACATACATACATACATACATACATACATACATGAAAACAAAATAATACAAGCACGCCCTCTTACGATTTTCTGACTTTGACGAGCTTGCTGTTTTTTCATCAGGAGGAGCTCAACAATGACGCTTTGCTTCGTGGGATCAACTTCCTGCGAAGAGATCGAGAATAGGAAGTTCAGATATCC